GAAAGTAGTTTGAGAAGTGTACAATATGGGTTTGTCAATAGACTTCGGTTCTACTAAGAAAATATGTACTTTGTCTTGACTCAATAAACTCATACGTAGTATGGTTCAGCTTCTTCATATTTACTCTTGCCCATATTAGAAAACAATTAGCTTACTAAACAAATTTGAGTATTTGGTAGTGGTGGGGGTGATCCTCTCTGAATCTTTTTTTGAATTTGACTAAGAATTATACAATATTTGATAACCATGTTTAAAAATGGAGATATCCAAATATTATTGTAAACACCCAATGATTTGTTTTACCTACAATATAAGTATTTTACTTGGTTGGATTACACAGTAGCTAATAATATTTGTTAATGTAATTTAACTGCTGTGAACCTTTACTGAACAAATATTGAAATTTATTCAAGTCAAAGAAAGAGAATCTCTAATGACTTTTGTTAAAGCTTCTATTTAATAGTTAAGGACAAAAGTTTGTATGACATACGCGATGCAATTAACAGTAGATTTTACATTTAATAAAAAGGAAGAAGCATGCGTATTTGCTTTATTCATTCCATCATAATTTGCAGTAGAGCTGCGGGTGTTTAATGAGCAAATTCCAGCTAAAATGCTATATTGATTTTCTAGTGAACTTTGTAATAGTCATCCACCTTGGAAAAGCTCAGTGTTTACAATTAAGTTTTCTTTACTAAAAATGTTTGAGAGTTGCATATTGATCCTTTAAGAGTACTGAATTCTAGACAGAATCATTTTTTTCATAATCAAATTTTACTTAAAATCTAATAGGTGTTAAAATTATTATTCAATAATACTTTAATTTTGGAAAAATTCTTAGCATTTATAAAATGTATAATCTGACTTTATGTGTGTGTCTTATGGCATTTTAAATTTTAAGCTTAGAATACTCAAAGGGTAATCTTTTTTATTAAATACATACATTATTTACATCTTTAGAGTTGATTTAGCATTATAAAGGAAAAAATAATGTGTTTTTTTAATCACACAGGAATAAATAAACCCTTGGTGTAAAGCATTTATCTTTAAGCATAGAAATAACTAGACTAAATATTGCTAGCCTTACCCCTTCCATCAAATGTTAGCGTATATAAAGTGGAGCAGAGCTTACATTAAATGTCACTTTATAAAGATTTCATCATACTTTACAGAAGTGATAGGAAGCCTATCGGCATTTAAGATTTAGTAATTAGTATTTTAACCTTTCCATGTGCCAGAATATTTCAGGATAATGTGATATACATATTAATCTGTGCTTTGATCACTATTTAGCAGCATATTGTCCATCTTGTCTGACTTACAAATTAGAAGTGTTTTAAATGTAAAAAATGTAAAATATCTTAGAATATCATGATATTTTTTTACAAACTATTATGCTATTATAACATGCAGTATGCAATATAGAATGGGTTCTGAATAATTTTTTTTAGTCCCTGTTTATAATTTTTGCATGCCAGGGAAAAAGGCTAAAAAGTGAGGAATTTTGAATAGTATTCTTTACATACATAAATGGTCCAAATTAATCAAAATCACATTTTTAATAAGTCTAGAAATGAACTCAGATTGTGAGTCTGTGGATTGAGGTTGGTGATGGTAGGGATGGCATGGAACTAATGTTGAGAATACACTTTATTTGGCCAAGAACTTTCTTGTATTATCTCATTTAATTTTTCCCCACAACCATAAATAGTGGTATTATTAATTTTATACACCCAAACTGCAACTAAAATAATTTAAGAAATGGAATCTATACAAAAACAAGTTGCCTGAGTTTAGTATAACACATTGGATCTCAATCAAAGTCAAAATTCTTCCTAATACACCATGTTGCTTTTTCTAAGCTGTTATGTGTGTCCTACCTGGAAGGAGATTGTATACAATTAGAAAGGGGAAATAAAACTCATTATTGTGTACTACATTATGGGCAAACATTTCTTTGAAAATAGTGTGATGAATAGTATAGCCACAGAATGCCACAGAGCAGTAAATGATACTACCTTAAAAAAAGTAAATGATACTACATAATTGTGCTGAAAAGTACTGGTTCTTCCAAAAGCTAGGTTCATAACAAGAATCTCTTAACCTTATCTAAATTATTGATTATAGGCATTTGATTTTATTCATGTGGATATCCAGTTGTTTCAGCACAATTTGTTGTGTAGTTTGTTTATCCATTCATCTGTTGATAGAAATTCGGGTTGTTTCTAGTTTGGGGCTATTATAAACAAAGATTCTATGAATATTTGTGTTTAAGTCTTTGTAGGGACACATGCTTTAATTTCTCTTAGATAAATACCTGTGAATGGAATAGCTGAATCTTACGGTCATAGGTGTTTCTTTAAGAAACTGACAAACTGCTTAAGTTTATTCCCCATCTGCCAAAATACTCTCTTACGGACCCTTATTTCCTTCAAAGCCTTTACCATTGTGTTATCCATATCTATCTATCTATCTATCTATCTATCTATCTATCTATCTATCTATCTATCTATCTATCATCTATCATCTATCATCTATCATCTATCATCATCTACCATGTATCTATCATCTATCTATCTATTTATCTATCATCTATCTATCTATCATCTATCAATCATGTGCCTACTTACTTTTTGGTTTGTTTTTCTCTCTACTCTCCCTCTCTATTTGTAATAGTTTTCTCCAGGATGAGGTCTTTTTAGACCACTATATTTATATTCCTTAAAACTCAATGGATGACCGCCACAGGAACCTAAAAAACATTTGATGGGTGGGTAGATGGATGAATATTTCTCTTTCCTTAGGCTCAGCATGTTGGAAGTGGTTTTGGCTTTGGCTTTGCCACTTCGTGTTCCATTTTATACTCTTATTAAAAAGAAGATAATACCTCTGTCTCCAGGTTTTGCATTTGCATTCGGACCTCTGATCAGAAATATTCAGATTAGCCCCGCCGGGTGTGGCTCAGCAGTTGAGCATCAACCTAGGATCCAGGAGATCGTGGTTTGATTACCGGTCAGGGCACATGCCCGGGTCAGGGGCATGTAGGAGGCAGCTGATCAGTGATGACCNTACTCTTATTAAAAAGAAGATAATACCTCTGTCTCCAGGTTTTGCATTTGCATTCGGACCTCTGATCAGAAATATTCAGATTAGCCCCGCCGGGTGTGGCTCAGCAGTTGAGCATCAACCTAGGATCCAGGAGATCGTGGTTTGATTACCGGTCAGGGCACATGCCCGGGTCAGGGGCATGCAGGAGGCAGCTGATCAGTGATGACCCTCTCATCATTGATGATTCTCTCTCCCTCTCCCTTCCTCTCTCTGAAGTCAATAAAGATATATTTTTAAAAAGAAAAGAAATTAAGGTAAAGAAAGAAGTTTAAAAGATATATTTAAATTTTAAAAATCCCCAGAAAGTTCCAAAAAGCAAAAACTTGAATTTGCCGTACGTCAAGCACGCTGAGTCCCTGTGAATGAAGTAATGCGTAGGCATACTCTTGTCGCCTATATGCAAATAGAGGTTTTTTTTGTAAACACTAAGCCATTTTTATATAAGGGACTTGAGCATCTGAGGGTTTTGGTATCCACACGGGTCCTGGAACTAGTCTGCAGCGGATACTGAAGGATGACTGTAGTCGACTTATTATCAGGGTTTCTTTTCTACATATAATTTAATACGAAATAAATTTCTTGATTAACTGTGAAATAATCTATGAAAAATCCTAGCAGAAATGCAATGTTTTATGAACTCAAAGAGCATTTAAACATCTTTTCTATGTTTATTTTGTGGCTTGACTATAAATAAAATTTGGTTCAGTAATCCAGGTATTTGAGCCCCTTTTTGTCTAATATTGCAGTGATATTTTATTTTATTTCATTTCATTTTTAATATGCCTTGATTTCAGAGAGAGGAAGGAGAGGGAGAGAGAGAGAAACATCAATGATGAGAGTCATCTCATCATTGATCGGCTGCCTCCTGCACGCCCCCTACTGGGGATCAAGCTGGCAACCGGGGCATGTGCCCTGACGGAATCAAACCTCAATCTCCTGGATCGCAGGTAGATGCTCAACTGCTGAACCATGCTGGCCAGGCTTCAGTGATATTTTAAAACTTATGTAAGATTTCAAGTAGAAATTATGCTTGAGAAATGACAGTATCAGATAACATCAAAGCTCCCCATATAGTGCTGCACAAATCTAGGTGATGCCACTGTATTATAATCTCTGTAAATGATGCCCGTGGAGATGTGCAGCGTAGCTGTGCTCCTGCTTATGCTTCCTGATCCCTTTTCCTTTCCCCTTCTTCCACCATCCTCCTGAGGTAACTACCATCATGACTTTGGTGTTTATCATTTCCATGCTTGCTTTAATATTTTTACTTATTGTGTCTATCCATAAATAAGAGGTATAGTTGTCTTACTTTGCAACTTGCTATTTTTTTTCAAAATTTCATTTTTGAGATTTGTCCATAGTTAATTCCTTTTAAATACTGGCTAGTATTTCATTTTGAATGTAAAGTGGTTTGTTTATTCCTTCTTCTGTTATTGGACATTTGTGTGTTTTTCTAAGTTTTTCCTATTATATAACACTGCAATAAGCATTTTTATACATGTTTCCTTGTGCATATGTACAAGAATTTCTGTAGCCTACCTACCAAAGAGGAGATTTGCCAGGTTATAGGCTACACACATCTTCAACTGTAATAAACATCATCAAATTCTTCTTGATGGTTGCAGAAATATATAGACCTATCTGCAGTATATGTGAGAATTTCTTTTACTTCACAAGCTTACAATAGTTGTTACTATTTGACCTTTTAATTTTTGTTTTTTTGGGTGTGAAATGGTAGCTCAATTTTCAGTAGCTTTAAAAAAAATGTTTTCTCAAGTGATTAATTGATACCAATTTAGGTGAATAAAAATTACTTTTGCTTTTTATTTTTGCGAAAAGTATGCATTTCTCCTTTATTTTCTCTGATTAATTATGGCTTATAATTTTTGTAGCTCTGGTTGAAGAGGTGTATTTTGCACAAAGGGAACGTGATGAAGCTATTATGTCTCGACTACAATTAGCCAATGAGGAGAGAGATGAAGCAATTGCACGAGCCAAGCATATGGAAATGTCTCTAAAAGTGTATGTACACATTTTAAACTATATGACATTAGAGGCATTTATAAAGTGCATGCATTATGTGGTGGTTACATATTCAGAAATGTTACTGATTCTTTTGTGTTCCAGTGGTAAATTTCCTGTCCCCACAGTCTCTAAAACTTCCAGCATGCCGTAGTAGTTTGCATGTCAGAAGTAACGGTTACCACCCCCCTCCCCCCCCAAAAAAAAAGAAGAAAGAAAAGAAACACACAGCACTCTGAGTACAGCTACTTTCCTGACTTCATAGTTCTGTTGTCGATGTCCTTTCTTCACTCTTTCTTATTATCACTTTCTGGATTTATTTCAGCGATCTGGGTTCTTTCACTGCTCCCTATATCATATGCTCATTCCTGTTCTTTACTCCATTTTACTGCTTTTAGCTGTGGCTCTTAAACGTGAGTGACACCCAAAATAGAATGGAGTCTCACGATCTGCATTTTTACCAAGCAACTCAGATGACTCTAATATAGGTAAACAGTGGATCACAATTACAGAAACAGTGCCCTAGAAATAATACTTCACCAGTTTTAATGTGCATTTCAGTCACTTAGGGAATCTTGTTAAAATTCAGATTCTCATTCAGTAAGTCTGGAGCGGAGCCTGATATTCTGCTTTTTCAAGCTCCCAGATGATGCAGATGACGCTATTCTAAAGGGTCCACTTTGGGTAGAAAGACACTACAGCATCTAGAAATGTGTTACTGGTCAGATAGATGAAATGCTGTAATATAATATTTTATGATCCATCAGTATACTTACTGTGTGTTTGCTCTGTTCAACATGGTGCTAGGCTCTGTGAGGGATCACAGTAAAGTCCTGATTAAAACATGGCTCATTAGAGAGACAATAATCATTAAATAATTAACAGGACAGTATTCAAGTTGTGATTAGGTAATATGATTTGTTTTTTGTTTAGATTAATGGCTTTTTTTTTTTTTTTAAGACTGGTAGAGAAAATACAAATAAAGGTACAAAAAAGTTTACCTAAATGCTACACTTTCTTCTCCCAGATAACTATCTTAATAGGGAAACATAATTCCAAACATTTCTCTTTGCTTATATATTTAAACACTATTATCTGGAAAGATGGATAGTTGGTGGTGGAATGGATGCATACATAGAATTAATTTGGTAAAAATCAAAACATTCTCTACAAGCTGTTTCATTTGAGTGACACAGTGTAGAGGTTAGGAGCCCTGCATCTGTCTTTGAATCTTGGCTCTATTGCTTCCTAACTGTACAGCCATGGACAGATTAGTCTCTGGGACTCAGTTTTTTTGTCTACAAAATGAGTAAATAGTGTCTGTTTTATAGAGGTGGTTATGAAGACTAAATGATTTAATAAATATTAAAAAGTACCTGGCTTGTAGCAAGTGCTATATGAGAATTTAGGAGTATTAATTAATTGAAGTGAAACTGAAGAAATTGTTAAATTTCTTTCAATGTTTTCTTTCAGTAAGATATAATTCCCTAAGGAGCCATGTCAATTTAAGAAAAGAGTCTGAAAAACATTACAGTGTTGGATTTGTCAGGTTTTTTTTTAGTTTTTGGAAACATGCAGTTTCACGTAAACAATATTTGACCCTCAGCTATGAAATAAGTAATTTTAAACTCCTGTTTTCTTTTGCTTTATCATTCTTCTAAAATTTTTGTAAAAGTTGTATTGTATTCTACAGCCAAAGTGCCCCTTTGTTGTTTAATCATAATCTTTAAAAGGATTGAATACCTGGCCCACATGGCTCAGTGGTTGAGTGTCAACCTATGAACCAGGAGGTCATGGTTCGATTCCTTGTCAGGGCACATGCCCAGGTTGCGGGCTTGATCCCCAGTAGGGGGCGTGCAGGAGGCAGCCAATCAATGACTCTCTCATCATTAATGTTTCTATTTCTCTCTCCCTTTCCCTTCCTTTATCTGAAATCAATAAAAACATATTTTAAAAAAGGATTGAATAATCAACACTGGCACTTTTATCATAAATGGCATTTTTATGCTTGAGTTTTTTATTGTGGGGAATTCCTGAGGGTAACAGAATTTCTATTTTCAAACAGGTTTTTGAGGGAAGGCTCATTTCTCTGATTTAACATGCCCCAGATTGGTTATGTGGTATCCATATATTCAAACTGGTTATGAATAAAATTCTTGGGTTAAATACTTTTCATTCTAAACATTGTAAAAAAAATTTTTTTTTCTGGCATTGAGTGTGGCTGAAAAGTCTGAGATTAATCAGATTTTTTTTTTCCTCCCTTGAGGTTACTTGTTCTTTTCTGCCTGAATATCTGAAGGATTCTTTCTTTCTTTTATTTTTTTAACTATATCTTTATTGATTTCAGAGAGAGGAAAGGAGAGGGAGAAAGAGATAGAAACATCAATGATGAGAGAGTCATTGATCGAGCCTGCAACCCAGGCATGTGCCCTGACCAGTAATCGAACCCCGATTGCCTGGATCCCAGGTCGACGCTCAACCGCTGAGCCACGCCCGGCCGGGCAGGATTCTTTCTTTATTCTTGAAGTAGAAGAACTGAATCAGGATGTTTGTGTTGATTAGTCTATAGTAATATTTTTGGATCCACAGCTAACCTCTCTGAGGACTATTTGATTCTTCCTTTATTTCATGGAAATTTTAGGTTTGTGGATTTTCTATTCTGTTTTTTAGGTTTTCTATTTTATTCTATTTTTTAATTAAAACCTATAGGTTTTCTATTTTAGAAATTCCAGTTATTCTTATTAAGGGGCACTTTTGCCCTTATCTTTTATCTGTTCAGTAATTATTTTAATCCCTCTTTTTCTCTGCCTTTACTGTGATAACCTCAAACCTTTCCTTTATGTTAGAAAATTCAATTTTTACTTTTCCCTTTCCTGCAATTTCTGGTTCATTTATTGAATTGTTTGTTTATTTACTTATGGTTCTCAACTTGTTTCTTTAATTTTTTTAATTTCCCTTTTTATTCCCACTTTTGCTTTTGCATTTTCTCTTTGAACTTTTAAAATTGAAGTCATGTTCTTTTTGTGTTCTTCTAAAATGCCTGGGAAGAAAATTTTTCTTCTTCCCCTGGATTTTGTTACCTTTTATATTATGAACTTTGTCTCTTTTGTATGGTGTTTTGTCATGTGTTTGTGGTGTATTATTCATAGTTGACATGTTATGTCTCGTCATCTTCCTCATGCTTAAATTGTCAAGAACTTTTCTTTGTTTTTATATGGTACCGGTGAATTTTCCTTGGCCAACCCTGATGATTCTTGCTTCTTCTATAATGATTCTTCAGTAATGCAGACTTCTACTCAGGAAGGACATTTTTTACTTTTCTTTGGGCTATCTACTCAACTCATTGGTCTCTCAGGTTATTTCCAAGCTGTGTGTTATTAGTGAAAAATTCTCAGGATTTGTAGAGTTTTCTCTTCTTATACCTGTGTTCATGTGTAAAAGGGAAAGTTGGGTAGACCTGGCCAAAGTCATCATTTCTCCACCCTCTACCCTGTGCCTACTTAAAAAAAATTACTATATAATATTCTGTTTCCTTTACTGTTTCATTTTTACTGACTGTTCATTTGGTTATATGATGGGATAAGTAGATTTTTGTGTTCAGATCTCTCTGCCCCATTTATTTGGACTTTTTTTCCAATAAACTTTTTTTAAAAGAATACAGAAAAGTTTTACAGAAAAGTTCCAGAATTAGTACAGAGAGGTCCTTCATAACCCTTACCCAGTTTCCCTTATTGTTATCTTACATACTATGGTACACATCGCAGAGGAGAAAGCAACATCGTTCCATAACTCTCAACTAAACTCCACCCTTTATTCAGATGTCACTAATTTTTCTCTTGTGTCCTTTTTATGTTTCAAGGTTCTATCAAGAATTTCATATACATTCAGTTGCTATGTCTCCTTTGCCTTCTCTGCTGTGACATTTTCTCAGACTTTCTTTGTTTTTGATGACCTTGGCAGTTTTCAGGAGTACTGGTCGGCTATTTTATAGAATGTCTCCATTTGGGTTTTTCTGAAGTCTTTTTCATTGTTAGACTGAGGTATTGTTTTATTAGGACAAGAGGGTACAGGAGTGAAGTGCCATTCTCATCAGATTATTTCATAGTTATATGTTATCAGCATGACTTACAAATGATGATGCTAATCTTCATCACCTGTTCGAGGCAGTGCTCACCTCTCCACTAAAAATTATTCACCCACATTTTCCTTTCATACTCTACTCTTAGCAGCAAATCACTTAAGTGCAACCCTTACTCAAGGAAAGAGGAGGAAGGAGGTTGGTTACTAGAGCTCTGCTTTCCCCAGGGGAGAATGTCTACATAAATTATTTGTAATTCTCTGCTCCTTCTGCTCCCATATTTATGTCGTATGGACTCGTGGATATTGATTTATAATCTGATACTGTTATTTGTTTTGGTACATGGAGCATTCCATCTTTAGCCATTGGGAACTCTTTCAGTTGATGTCCGTATCCCTTTGACGTGTACTTATCTTCTTGATTTTTGAGCACTTTCTTTCTTTCTAGCACTTCAGGATGCTTTGGGGGTTATGTTTTATAGGGATGTCTGGATGACCTCCAGAATCAGCCATTCCTCCAAGAAGACCTGATTCCCTTTATTGGAAAATGGTATTAGAGACCAAGATCTTGATGCCAGGTGTGCTCCTTGTTGCTGGGTGTGACTACTTCTAGGCCCAATCAGAAGAAAGAGCTAGGAAATGTATGTATGTAGACTAACGGATGTATGTATACACACATAACTGTAATGTTGTATCTATTCATCTGTATCTTAATTAAGCTAAACCTAAATTTATTCTGATGTTCCTGATTCTTTTCTTTTTTTTAAATATATCTTTATTGACTTCAGAGAGAGGAAAGGAGAGGGAGAGAGAGAGATAGAAACATCAATGATGAGAGAGTCATTGATCGAGCCTGCAACCCGGGAATCGAACCCCAATTGCCTGGATCCTAGGTCGACGCTCAGCCGCTGAGCCACGCCCGG